ACAACAAATCCAGGCACGGTAAGTTTTAGACAGAAACGTTTGCTTACAATAAACAACCTTGTAGGCTTAGCTCAGCAATGGGATCAGTTAAACCAGCTGGGTATGCAAATGCAGCATAACCGTGAACAACAAATACAGGCACGGTAAGTTTTAGACAGAAACGTTTGCTTACAATAAACAACCTTATAGGCTTAGCTCAACAATGGGATCAGTTAAACTTCAAACTCTTAAAATACAGGCAAGCTTGCTCTTAGATGGGCTAGTCATTCAAAACTTGGTGCTCTGTATGGTGCCAAAAAGTATTGGCCTTTAACAGTGAGAATAGTAGGACTAGGAGACGCATATAAATTTTGGCAGAGTAGGAGTCATCTTCAGTAAAGACATTTTTATTTTTCTAACATGGTGGTTGTCCTTTGGAATGGGTTGCCTTTGGATGTTGTGGAGGCAGTAAGTTTAAGTGAAAGCTTGATAACTATATAAATGATAAGGGTTGCCTTTAAGATTTTTTTTCAATTTATTTAATTAATAGTTTTGGTTTAGTTTAGAGAATGGAACAGCTGAGATGGACCAGTAGGTCCATTGTTGTCCCAAAATATTATATTAAGTTCTGTTATAAAGAGGAGATCAACTCCTTTATCTATTGTTGATTGTCTCATAAGTCTAGCAAACTTTCAACTGAGCCGATGATTGTGCTTGTAGAGGCAGATCACAACCTTCTATCAGCTTCTGAGCCGATGCTCGTGCTTGTAGAGGCAGATCACACACTTCTATCAGCTTCTGAGCCGATGCTCGTGCTTGTAGAGGCAGATCACAACCTTCTATCAGCTTCTGAGCCAATGCTCGTGCTTGTAGAGGCATATCACACACTTCTATCAGCTTCTGAGCCGATGCTCGTGCTTGTAGAGGCAGATCACACACTTCTATCAGCTTCTGAGCCGATGCTCGTGCTTGTAGAGGCAGATCACACACTTCTATCAGCTTCTGAGCCGATGCTCGTGCTTGTAGAGGCAGATCACACACTTCTATCAGCTTCTGAGCCGAAGAGTGATGTGGCCCAACTTTTACTATAGCAGCAAACATCTTTTAGCATCCGTGAGGATAGCATTGCACAGCAAGGTGAAAATATTATGAACAATGCATTGTGGGATGGAGAAGTTTTTCACAGTGGTGTAGCACATAATTAAACTTGGCCCAGTAACATGGTAATGTGTATGGGAATTCGCACTGATAGCACTGTAATGCCAATGAAGTGTTTGCTAGTAACCATATGATTTGTTTGTCAACACTAAGGGTTAGGTGTTGAAGTGAGGCTAAGTCTGTCAACACTAAGGGTTAGGTGTTGAGTGAGGCTAAGTCCATCATATTAAGGTCTAGCCATTGGCCATATGCATTGTTTCGATACTTACAAATACTTCTTTCAGTTGTTTATTGTTATATAATAATGATTATTTTTATTGTAATAATTAGCCAGCATTTTTAGCTTAATATATGGATTCAGGACTGGTCGAACCTCGTGAGATATTAATGGCTTCACAACTGGAAATATTTTTAACAGCAACTGATGAAACAACACATTCTAATCTTTATCAGTAAAACAGTATAATCAATTAGCACATTGCCGAGTATATTTTTTGTTCTGATCTAGGCAGGCAGCTTGCTTTGATCAGAACTTAATATTAATACTCGTCCAACACTTACTTGAACATCATGCTAAACTCCTTCAAAGCATCTTCTGACACACCACTCTGGTTGCTACAAGGTACAAAGTCAGCATTTTAAAATTTCTTAATCTACATGGTATGTGTTCATTGTATTACATCACGCTATGATCATAGGTTAAATTAACTTGTTATTTATTATCCTCTCAGAAAGAAATGGGTGTAAATCACAAACACAAAATGCTATTAGTTTTTAAACAACTGTAAATCACGCAAAAAATTGCTAATAGCTTTTAAACAACTGTAAGTCACAAAAAATATCTTAATAGTTTTTAAACAACTGTAAATCACACAAAAATGCTAATAGTTTTTAAACAACTGTAAATCACCCAAAAAATTGCTAATAGTTTTTAAACAACTGTAAATCACACAAAAAAATTGCTAATAGTTTTTAAACAATGTAAATCACACAAAAATTTCCAATAGTTTTTAAACAACTGTAAATCACACAAAAATTGCTAATAGTTTTTAAACAACAAACTCACAAGGCATATTTTTTGTATATGCTTTAACACTGTAGAAATTGGTTTATTGTGCTATTGTATTTTAGTCAATGACATTTATGTCATTTGTAGATCAGTGTACGATATGAAGAACATTGCCCAGATAGCTGACACTTTTTCAGGGCAATATTTATGACCAGAAGGCACTAGATAAAAAAATAAAGATAGATTAAATTATAATTTAATGAAACAATGCATTATTTGATGTTTTGAGTTCAAAAGCTGAATATTTATGTTAAAGTGAGCAAAAGAAACAAAATGATGTCATTATTACCACAATTTACAGGGGGCTTTATTATCTACAGGGGTTCCCATAACAGAGAAACAATGCTGATAAAATGAATACACAAAATATATATTAGACCTCCACAGTACAATGTTTGCAACTAAGCAACAATACAATTACTGGTCTCTTGGAAATAATTTATTAGGGTTAGATGTGTGCGTTTTCAATAAAATTAATGCCTCTGAACTGCCAAAATTTTCTGACAGCTCGATGAAATGGTCAAATAGATTATTCTTATATATGTTGACCTCATCTCAACATCTAGCCCTTAGTGTTGACAAAAATTGAATGCGAAACAGTTGAGGGTTTTATTATCTCTCTATTGTGATCCTTCAATCACATTATATCCATGTAGCTAAATTCAAAAGTGATATAAATCATCATATTTAGTTTGTACTAATGTTAGGAATTATATATTTGTAAGTTGTGAAGAAAAAAAAACAACAACACCAAATGAAGACTATTTATTAACTCAGGCACTTTGACAAAGAGAAGTCTGGCCGACTTAATCACCAGGAGTTCAAGAGCTGTTTGAGAGCTCTGGGGTACGACCTCCCCATGATGGAAGAGGGTGGTGTGGACCTGGAATTTGAGACCATCCTGGACGTTGTTGACCCCAACCGGGATGGTTATGTTTCTCTACAGGAATACATGGCCTTCATGATCTCGAGAGAAACGGAAAATGTTCGTTCGAGTGAGGACATAGAGAATGCTTTCAGGGCTATCACTTCAGGAGAACGCTTTTATGTCACAGCTGATGAACTGTATGCTGTAAGTGTTTCTTAAGCAGGATAGTTTTATTTTTGTTATTAACACCAACATTTAACTTAATATCAAGTAAAACGCTATTACTATAGAAATCAACCAGCACACATATCAGCTATAGGCTGGTATTACTATAGAAATCAACCAGCACAAACATCTGCTATATGCTGGTATTATTATAGAAATAAACCAGCACAAACATCAGCTATATGCTGATATTACTATAGAAATAAACCAGCACAAACATCTGTTATATGCTGGTATTACTATGAAAATAAACCAGCACATATACTGTCTGATAGTGCCATAGCAACAAGTTAAAGTATAATAAAGACAGTTCACAACAACAATAAATAATAAAAAAACTTTACTGGTCCCACATTACCATAAAGACTGTGCTACAAAATTCTTATCAGAAAAGGAGAGAAAAGAACAAACTTATTTGTTCATGGTAATAAAAGCTGTGAATCACTGTGTTGGTGAGAACAAAACTTTAAATATTTATCTACCATACTTCTATGATTGTAAATCTCCAAAATTACGATATTTCAAATACTCTCTTAATAAAATAACGTACTATATAAAACAACTGAAGCATAAAATTGTTTCTTTAGCACCTTATACATAAAAATCAACAGCTCGAAAATAAAAACAAAGCTGGTCATTTTAAAAGTTTAATTCTGGAAAAGAGTTCGAGTGAATTCAATATAGTCGTACGCTCCTGGAACTGTGCGTCCAGTTTTGGGGTCCGTAAAGGGCTTCATCCGTGACACACAGTAGTCTGCCATTTCCTTGGTTAGATTCTGGAAATAATATTGTAAAATATGTAGACCTTGAAAGATACTAATATGATGTATTATTATTTTTTTAACAGTGATTGTAATATTTGTCAGTTAAAGTTACTCTACAAAATCAGACATCCATGCATGTTAATTGCTCAATGCTATCAAACCTCTCTAAAGAAGAGGGGTCAACTGCCCATAAGTGTCTAGATAATATATTTAATTGAAATTCATTCCACAAGATGGCTGCAATGCTTCATTTTAAGAGTCATAGCCAACCTTACGAGCCCTGGTATTTGGGCAAAAGGTCTCAACGTCATGGCATGGGATACAACAAATGTAGCATGGCCAACATATTATAAGCATGTTTTTATTTGCTATCACTTATAAATTCTTGGTTATGCAGGTCAGTGTTCTTTGGAAAGGGGGGGGGGGAGGAGGGGGTAATACAATTTGTAACCAATGCCCAGACAAAGTTAATTTGTCAGTCTTATGACATATTCCTACAGTTAAAATTATCAAAGTATTATTTTTCACTGACTGTTAAAAACAAATGTTAAAATAACTTAACCAATCGTAACACATATAACACAAAACTGTTATTTGTTTGCTATTGAATTGTCACTAATAACCCATATGTCCAATAGGCCTTTCTGACAGAGTATTCAATTATTATTTTAATATATCTTAAGAGAATTTGTTAGATGTGTTTCCCAGCTTGGAAAAGTCTACCTTAAATGAAAAACAACAGACCTGTACGTTGTAACCGGTTTGTCCAAGTTCAACAAGATACAGAAAATGCTTACGACAATTGTTTATGGATGGAAAGAGGTTATGTTTTTCTGATATCATTTATTTTTGTTCCCTTCATAATATCAATTGGATAAAACTAATTCATTATACATACATGTAAAAAAACAAACGTTAAGCAGGATAGTTTTTTTGTTATTAACACCAACATTTAACTTAATATCAAGTGAAACAAGAAATAAACCAGCACAAACATCAGCTATATGCTGGTATTACTATAGAAATGAACCAGCACAAACATCAGCTATATGCTGGTATTACGAACCAGCACAAACATCAGCTATATGCTGGTATTACTATAGAAATAAACCAACACAAACATCTGCTATATGCTGATATTACTATAGAAATACACCAGCACACACATCAGCTATATGTTGGTATTACTATAGAAATAAACCAGCACAAACATCAGCTACAAACATCTGCTATATGCTGGTATTACTATAGAAATTATAGAAATAAACCAGCAGAAATAAACCAGCACAAACATCAGCTATATGCTGGTATTACTATAGAAATGAACCAGCACAAACATCAGCTATATGCTGGTATTACATAGTAATACCAGCGTATAGCTGATGTTTGTGCTGGTTTATTTCTATAGTAATATCAGCATATAGCAGATGTTTGTGCTGGTTTTTTCTATAATAATACCAGCATATAGCAAATGTTTGTGCTGGTTTATTTCTATAGTAATACCAGCATATAGCAAATGTTTGTGCTGGTTTATTTCTATAGTAATACCAGTATATAGCTGATGTTTGTGCTGGTTTATTTCTATAGTAATACCAGCATATAGCAAATGTTTGTGCTGGTTTATTTCTATAGTAATACCAGTATATAGCTGATGTTTGTGCTGGT